TGGGGGGGCACCCACCCCCTGGCGCCCCGCAGACGAACGGCCACGCCCCTTGGCGCCCGGCAGGCTGTAAAGGTTGGGGACCACTGCTGTAGACCACTGTAACAAAAAAATGGGGTCTTATATTTACTGAGCTTTTTTCTTTTTGTATCAAAAGAAAGCGTACATTTCTCTCAATTGTTGGTCGGAAAAAAGCATAAACTAAATAATAGAATCATAGAATACTAGGACTGGAAGGGACCTCGAGAGGTCATCGAGTCCAGTCCCCTGCCCTCATGGCAGAACCAAATACTGTCTAGACCATCCCTGATAATATCTCCAGAGATGGGGATTCCACAACCTCCCTGGGCAATTTATTCCAGTGTTTGACCACCCTGACAGCTAGGAAGTTTTTCCTAATGTCCAACCTAAACCTCCCTTGCTGCAGTTTAAGCCCATTGCTTCTTGTTCTATCCTCAGAGGCCAAGATGAACAAGTTTTCTCCCTCCTCCTTATGACACTGTTTTAGATATCTGAAAACTGCTATCATGTCCCTCCTCAATCTTCTCTTTTCTAAACTACATTTCACTGAAAATTAATTATATCATAATAGAAATACTGTAGCAATTTGTTATATTTTCCTTCATGTGTGAAATTTAAGAAATTGTATTGGTCTTGTGCTTTGCAAAAGAATTTCCCTTCCATTTTATTACAGACATAAAGGAATAAATTAACTAATAATTACTATTGGGTGTGCTTTCCCCCTCCAAATCAGAAAATAGAAAGGGGATAGAAAAAAGGTATACTATCTACATGGGTAGTAATTTGTGTAACATCTAAAGATGACCTGAAGGAATGAGCATGATGTTTTCACAATGAATAGGAGAGGGAAAGTATTAGAACATCTAAAGAGGAGGAGAATAAGTTGAAAAGACAGTGACCATATTCAGCAGTCACTGGCCTCCTCTACATTGCAAATAAATGTGCTAAGGCAGCCCATTTTAAACATGCCTTTTCCAAAATAAAAACTGAGCAGAACTCTAGAAAACAAGTATTATGGAGAGAAAACTAAATTTCTGTTGTGGCTAAAGCTCCTTTTAAAAAAATCATATTCTTAACACCAAGAAATTGTGGCTGGAGTTTCTGCTTTATAACTCAGAGGGAAATAGCTATGACTGTGTAAAAGATGTGTGCATTAGATGCAGAAATGATAATGGATGAGCCTGTAGCTGATAGAGAGCCACAGAAAAAGCTTTGAGAAACCAGTAACCAACTGCAGGGCAGACCTGTGTTGCAAAATGATTGCTAATGAGAGGAAATTGTACTCTTTTGTGTAGTAAAGGTTTCATTTGTATTTTATAATGTACTGCAAAAGCAGGGCCAGCACTTCAGTAGGACTGCTAGCAATATAAGAGTGCCACAGTGCTGAATAACCAATGCTGAGACAGCTGTGATTTTCTTTCATTTGTACAGTGCTCAAGAAGGAACTCAAATGAATTAAAACGAAGCCACTCAATCACTAAGCAAAAGAGGGTTCCCTATCCTAGAATATTTTAAAGAATTTTTCTGAACAGGTGCAGCTCTATCAGTGCTACTAAGGGTAGAATCTAGTGCAGAAAGGCAAAGGGATTTGTTGTACAGGCAGTCCCCGGGTTACGTACAAGATAGGGACTGTAGGTTTGTTCTTAAGTTGAATTTGTATGTAAGTCGGAACTGGTACATATTGTAGGGGAAACTCTAGCCAAACATTTCTCCAGAGCTCAGTTTTATTCTCCCACACCTCACTTCCCTCAGTCCTTTATTCTCAAGCTGAGGTGTCTGCTGAGAAAAGCCACTCTGTGTCTCCCTCATCTGCTGGGGAGAAGGGCGCTAGCTTCGCGTCTCCCTGGTCTGCTGGGGGGAAGCAGCTAGTGCGGGGTTGCCTCACCTCGTTTGTAAGTAGGGATCCGATGTAAGTCGGATCCATGTAACCCGGGGACCGCCTGTAGTACATCTTTCTTGGTGTTACCAAAAAGCATGAGATGGGGAGAAATCTTAAACTGGGTATGAAATGTTGAGGGTCCAGTTCATTTCAAGATGAGGTGTTCTGACTGCTGAAGTAAGCCAAAAGTAAAGAACAGGGAACAAATCAGCTTCTGTAATAAAAAATAATGAGAAATCCTGTTTTTTTTTCTTCTGTAGATTTTAGACTTTGGCTTAGCTCGACAAACTGATGATGAAATGACTGGATATGTAGCAACAAGATGGTACAGAGCTCCGGAAATTATGTTAAACTGGATGCATTATAATCAAACAGGTAAAGGAAGGTACTTATTTTTAAACTACAAACAGTATAGTCACAACAGGGAAAAAAACAACTGCATTTAACCATTTTTATGTTTATCTTGCATATCCTTCCCTCCTTATTTTTGACAGTTGACATTTGGTCAGTGGGATGCATCATGGCAGAGTTACTGAAAGGCAAGGCTCTTTTTCCAGGAAACGACTGTATCCTTAACATAAAATGCAGTTACATGATGTGCAAATGCACTGCAGTTCTTTCTGTTCTCTAACCACCAACATGTTCTCCAGGCTCCATTTGCCAGGTAACAAACCTTCGATACAGCAAACAGAGTTGCTAATTGTTCAGCTTGCAGCTGACCATAACAGCCGTCAAAAGAAAAAGCAATAACATGTTCTTAAACCACAAGAAGCTACATGCAATCTTTATTTTATGCCTGATATTTAAATAATGACCTACTTGCAGGATTGATTTCTTCCATTTGTGCTGCTTCTTAAAAAACAATTAGAATTAATATGCATTAAGTATGTTAAGGAGCAGGTATTTTGCTAATGGTGTAACCAATACAATTTGAATCAACTACATGATTAGTAGAAAAGGAGAGGGGCTCTGCAGAGCTGCCGTGCAAGTGGCTCCTGGAGCTGGCGTGATCCTGGACTGAACTTGCACTAGCTCTGGGACCGCTGCGGCTCTGCCTTTTAAATGTAGTAAGAGCTGCTGGGCTCTTACTACACTTAAAAGGCAGAGCTGCAGCAAGGGTAGGTTCAGGACCCAGCGTGAGCTGGGACTGAGCAGTCCCGGCTCACTCTGGGTCCCAAACTACTGTACCTCTGCCTCTCCTGCCCCTCTCCCCTGCCCCACAGAACTTTTAACCCAGTTCCCCCCAGCACCAGCTCCTGTTAACCTCCCACTTTGTCTCTGACACAGAAGCAGCAAGGGGAGGAGTGAGTAGTTGAGTTGTGACTTGATTGCCCAATAAGCCTAGGCTTATCGGGTAGAGGACTACTCAACTAGTTGCTTACATCCCTACTATGCATGTCACTTAGGCTACATCTACACTGCAGTGCTCTTTCGGGATACTAGAGGAATCCCAAAATAGCTATTCTGTGTATTTTGAGCGCACCCCTTATTTCGAAATATAATGGGCTCGCTATTCCAACGTCCATGTCCCTGTCCAAGAGGAATAAGGGACGTTTCGGAATAATGATTTATTTCAAAATAAGTGCTGTGTAGATAGTGCCAAATTTCAAAATAAGCTATTTTGAAATAACATCGAAATAAGATAAGCAATTTTCATAGCTCAAATTGCGTATCTGATTTCGACCTACAGTGCAGGGTAGACACACACTTATTGTTATAAAATTGGTGTTTCTATTTGTGTAAACGAGAGACAAAAATCCCACAGTCCAGTATAAAGTAGTGGAATTGTTATTGTTCATGGTGCAAAATTAATGGACTCTATTGCAGCCTTTCTTGTTTCTCTGCCTGATAAGGCAGAAAAAGCAGTTGCAGGGTAGAGTAGAATAATACTAAAAGGAAATGCAGAGGAAATAAAAATGGAGACTGTAGATAAACAAATGATTGTGAGATCACATCAGAAAACCTCATTGCATCTGAAACAGGAGTATAGTATACATCAGATTCTATTGTGTTCCACACTGAGGGCATGTCTATACTACTGTCCTAACTCGACCTATGTTAGGTGAATTCACAGTCGCCACAGTCGTTCTGCGGTGGCTGATGATGTCCTCACCAGGAGAACTTCCGCTAACTGAAGAGGGACAGTGTCTGGAACTGAGAGCTAGGGCTCCCCCCAATTGCCACCGGGGCTTCTTGCCTCCTGGAGCGGGAAGCAGGGAGCCTCTGAGCAGCAGCCCAGTGGGGTTGTAGAGCAAAGGGCAGCCAGGCTCTAGCTGCCTGGCTTTCTTGTCAGTTTCTGGAGCCTGAAATTGGTTGTCTGATGTGTATTTTTTTCAGAAAATAGGATATTTTTGCATACTATGGACTTACTAGTTTTTTCACTTGCAAAATGCAATCTAGGATTATAGTGTTTCAGTAAGACATTAAATTAATCTTGACTCATTAGAGAAAGGGTTCGTATGGTTCACTTTCCAGATCATATACTAACTCAGAATATGTACATTTTAAACATATGGGTGTCGTCCTACGTGCTTTTGTTCCTCTGCAAATCGGGTTTAATATGTAACCCATTCAGAATTCTCCACTCAGTCCGCAAGTCAGCAGTCATCCTGTTCAGCAAAGCCCACGGACATGAGCTGAAATTGTTAAGCACATATGTAAGTCCTATCCAGCTCAAAGTTAGGTGTATGACTTGGTTGCACTGGGACTTTGCACTGCTGGTAGCATTTTACATTCACATTCTACAGATATAAATGAATACACAAGGTTCTGGGCAGTGGAGAATAAGACACTGTCCCTAATCTTCAGTTAGTGTAATTGGCTAACCCCACTGCAGTCAGTAGAGCTCCCTGAGGATCTCCCTGCAGGAGTTTAGGGTTTATTTAAACATACAAGGCTTGTCTGTGGCTTACTTTTACTATCTTTCCTGGAGTTTTCTTGAATACTTGCAGATATTGACCAACTAAAGAGAATAATGGAAGTTGTAGGAACACCCAGTCCTGAACTTCTTAAGAAAATATCATCAGAACATGTGAGTTCACCATTCCATAAATTTGCTGATTTATCCATTTACTTTTCCATAGTACAGGTTGAACCTTTCTAGTCCGGCTCCCTCAGGACCTGACTGGTGCCAAACCAGAGAATTTGCTGAACCACATGAGGTCAATTTTGTCTAGCAGCATTACCAACAGTTCCACTGCTTACTGGGCTCTTAGAAGATATTTAGGGGTAAATTGGAGCTAAGTAATAGCACTGAATAGTGAGAGCCAGGAATGGTGGCTATAAACAAACTTTATGGGACTGTGGCAAACTTGGCTATCCCTATGGTAAGTGGACATCCAGCTAATTAAAATCATGCTGCACCACAGATGTTGCCAGACCAGAGAGTGCCAGACTAGAGAGGTTTAATTTGTAATTGGTTTGGCACGTCATTGGTTGTGTTTGATAGCATGCTGCTTAATTCCAAATATGAAAATCTGTTTAAAATACTCGCTATTTTGCTACTAGTGGCAACATTCAGTAAGTGGAATAAAATGTTTCCAATGTAACTTTCAAGATTTCATCTTTCAATGAGACTTATTTCCTAAATCACTTAGGTGCTCTTGAATATGTTAATAGCTCTGACAGTTTAGCTGTTAGTCTGTATCTTTAAAAATGAGTAGTCCTATGCCACCTACCTTTGTTAGTCTTGAAAATGTTAGTGATTGTTTTTACAAGCACTAAAACTAATCATTGATTATGTAAGAATGTATTCAGTAATCTTACAGTCAATTTGGATGATTCTTTGTTTTGGTACTGAACTTTGAAAAATAAATATTGATGTTTGCCAAACAGCATGAAATTATCAACTGAATTCTGTTTAGTTTTTGCACCTTCAGTACTTGAGATAGATTCAAACAAAAATGCTGGATCCAAACATCACTATGTTCTGTATATGTTTGTGTCTTTTGGGTCCTAGTCTTGAGGCTCATGTGCACTCATCTTTCCTGTCTATTTATATGGGATCTGCTTTTATAATTTTAGAATTGAAGTCATAATTTGATCATTAAAACTCTACATATAAGGTGCATATAAAGCAGTAGCAATAGAGGTTCCAGGAGAGTCTGAAGGAGAATTAATTAGCTGAAAGTTGTGACCTGGGTTGGCCTGTCAAGGCATTGAAATGCTATGTTCATGGGCACAATGTCATAAACATTTGGTGAGAGAAATCACAGCACATTTACACCACCTCAGCAATAACAGCTTTGGCTCAGATCATTTATTTTACTGTACATTGCATATATAGAGCTCACTCCTTAGTTATATCTGACTCCCGTTACACTTTCCCCTGCTCTTGGTGTAGTCCCTGGAGGAAGTGAGAGCAGCCACATTTGCATGCTTATAACATTGTTGGGCAGATCTCAAGGAGAAAGAATACATCTTTGGTGGAACAGTCTGTGTGGTCATAAGTCCAGCTTCAGAGGTGCTCATTGCCATGAGCTTAAAAAAAAAGAATGGATGGACTGTCACATATTTGTTACATAGTCAATATTTTCCCCTCTGTTTAATGTGCTACTCTAAGGCTTAATGCAGAATATAAGAACTGTGTAGGTGACAAGTAAATAAAGCTGGTCTAACACCTTTTTGCTAATTTGCTGGATTTCTAACACTGCTTTATTTCTCACCGTCTGTGAAAGCTATTCTTGTATTCCTTTGTGTGTTTTATTTATCTTCTTTGAACTTAACTTACCAGTCCATTTATATTTGTTGAACAATTGAAGAAACTAGCTAGGTGAGCACTTTTATTGCACCCTCCAGCTGTTTATTTAAATAAAATGTAACTGTTATGTACTTGGAGCATCCCCACAGTTTGTGGGCACTCAGGCTTCTGGGAAGTATTGATGAAGAAATTGATGATTAGTTGGCTCCCCCTTCATACCCTGTGCAGAGAGATTGGGTCAGTCAGGCACTGCAGGGAGGACTCCTCAGTACCTGGTCGCTTGGTTTTTCTTGAGGCCACACGTCTGAGCTTTGCACCTATGTTAGGTTCAGCGATGTATATCTACTATATATTTGAAAGAGTTTGTCTGTCTGTGAGTCTGTCTGTTTGTTTGTTCAAGAACTCCTCCTAAAAGGTCTGAGCTAGGACCACCAAATTCAGAATATAGCTTTCTCTTATCATAACTTAAAGCAAGGTTAGGCTTTGTCTGTGCCAGGAAAATGGGATGTGCTTGGAATGGGACGGCTTCTTATAAAACCATACAGCAAAGAGACAGACTCATAAGGTAGGTGAAAGGGGCAGGTTTAGGGATGCTCCATCCCCGAAGCTCACACTCCCCAGGTACCCTTTAGAGAGGGTGAGAGCATTGAAGCTCCCCTCTCTCTGCTCCCGATTTCTGCAGAGATGCATGAAACAGATAGACTCACCACGCGGATGAAAGGGGCTGGCTGAGGGCATCCGCCCTCCCCTGTCTGGGGCTGCCCCAGCCCTGAGCCTCCCACCCCACAGGTGCCCTTTAGGGAAGGGCAGGGAAGCTGAAGCTCTTCCCTCCACCCTCAGTCATACAGGAACATTGTTGGCTGTTCTGTTTCATCAGGGAGCAAGGGGAAAGTGCACAGTTTTCTGCATTCCTCACTCAGGCTGGGGAACACAGAGCCATATGAACCTGGACTGGCCCCAGCCGAGGGACATGCACCCCTCCCCCAGCTGTGCCCACTAGAGCATGGAGAAGCACTTGTCACCTGGCCCAAAGTTGCTGTTGTGAGAGATCTGGGGTAGTCCTCTCTCCCCAGGGCAGTCTGCATACTGAATCCCTTATCCTGAGCTCCACCCCAGAGCAGTGGTTTAAATAAAATGTGCACATTTTCAGGACCTGAGTAATGCTGGGTGAATCTTCTACTTATCATATGTAACTTGTTAATGTTCAGAGTAATTTTGTGGGCATATTTATGGGCAGAGCAGACTTAATTATGATTATGGTGACTGTTATCTTTTCATAGTTTAGTTTCTTTTGTTTCAGAGCCACCTTAATGAGTCAGATTGTGTGTTTGTATGTGTGTGTATTTACCAAAAGGTAGGTTTATTTCTGGTGGTAATATTTCCTTACAAGTTAATTTACTAGGACTGTGCCTTATGTGGAGGACAAGTCTGTTTAGTTTTGTGAAAGAGTCGCAGTGGGCACTAGTTTGCTTGTACAGATGTCATTTGTTTGATATTCCCATACAGAGCTTTGCACAAATATTTTACTATCATCTGCTTAGTAACAAACGATTGCATGTTCTGAGATGTTTACTGACTAAAGCCCAGTCATTATAATCAATGGATGCCAGGAATTTCTTTGTTCCTTTGTATTTTGCAAAGGTGTGTTTTGTGGTTCCTGGGAAGATCATGTGATGGGAAATAAGCTTTAAGATTTTGTATTTTGGTGTAATTGTGGGTCTAAAACTTGATTATTAAAATTCTGATTTCTTAAAGCAATCGGGAATTTGGGAGGACTGTGAAGGGCATTTACCTCTTGCACTGTAGCTTAGCTGGTATAAGGAGTTACAAAGGGTCTACAAAGAGTCTACCTCCTTTCTGACTCCTCTTTCCTTTGTTGTGTTCCCCCCACTGCAGAAAACAAACCTCTATCCAGGGCAGTGTCAGCTTTGCATCACCTCCAAAGAAGCCCTGAGATGGGGGAATTCAGGTTGGGGGGCATGTTGGGGACCAGGAAAGGGATGAGGTTAATGGAAGTGTAACCGGGGGAGACCTGCACTTAGTGATTCCTCACAGCTCAAAGCCTGTACAGGAGCAGGCCTGCGGACGGAGAGGGGCAAAGTGAGGAGTTGCCCCAGTAGCAGGTGATTCAAAGTGACCTGGGACTGTGGCTGCCACCCCTGCCAGAGTGCTGCACTGCACGTTCCGTGCAGCTCCGAGAGCTCGATGGTGCACTGCTGAGGGCTGGTTGCCCTTGGCCTCACTCCTTCTGTTCTTGGCACCACCCCTTCCGAGTGTACAGAGCTGGGCTTGCAGAGGCTGTCAACCCCACTGATTAGAGGCACAAATTAGAGCAGTCCCAGGGTTTGCTCTATATTGCACCTTGGGCACCAGGAGCAGAATAGTACAAGGGCTTTGCTGGCCCTTACATTACCAGAGAGATTTATCAGGCCTCTTCTTGAGGATTTTAGCCTGGTAGGTCAGACAAAACAATGGATCAACCTGGGAGAGTCAGTGAGGCCTTCAGATGTTCACCAGTTTCTCAGGCCATCTGGCTCATGGTTAAAAATTGCCTGCCTTTCTTTAAATTTAAAATGGAAGGCCATCCTCTTCTCTCATACATTAAAAAAATAAGTTGTTAGTTTTTTAATTAGATAAATAGAAGGTTTTATTTTGCTTCCTTATAGCTTCACCCTCTATATTGCAGGTTAAAACTGTCGTGAGTACAAATGAAAAAGTGCTGTGCCACATAGAGTATAGGAGAACCAAGAGCAGCAGACCTCAGATTACGAGAGTCCTGCTAGATGACCTCCAAGTTAGATCCCTCTGCTAACTGGCATAATGCCATGAAAGCTGATGCATAAGTGTATACACGGGCCTAGGATAGCGCTTACCTCCCCATCTCCTCAAGTAAGCCCATTCTCTGCCTGTATCCTCTTCCTTTTACTTTTCAACTTCTATTCAGAAGAGTAGTCTGCTAGTGGCCTCCATTCGTACTTTACCCAAAGAGCAACAGCTTTGTGTTCCCAGCTACACTCCACTCAAGGCAAGATCAAGACTTAAATGGAGAATCCCCAAACCCATTTTCAATGATAAACAGAGGATTAAAGAACTGGAAAAATAAAGGGATCTTTTATATAAACTTTACCAGATGTTTTAGAACAAGTTTCCAAGTCAGTTTACAGATGTGATGTCTTAATTTGGGGTTAGGCCAAAATCTCACTTTCACTATTTCCAAATTCAGAATTATTTAAATACTCTGGTCTCCCTGGGTGGGTTTCTGTGGAATGACAAGCGCATGAAGGAAAGATTGGTGAGTAAACCAAGATGCAGCCAAATTGATATTGGTCTCATTTGGATGTAGCCTGAAAACAAAACAGTCCTGGCTCCCTGCAATCACAGATGGATTCTTGACATGTGGAATGGGATATGAATAAATCAGCACAGATTAGGCACAACTGTGGTCAGATGCCCAGGTATCTGATGATTTCTGTTGGGTAATGGTTGATTTTTTTACCTTAGTCTAGGGGTGTCCAAACTTTTTTCAAAGAGGGCCAGATTTGATGAAGTGAACATGCGTGAGGGCCGACCATTTTGCCTGACATTCTTTGAACCATTAAAATTAAATGCAAATTAACTATTTTATGCAAAGTTTATTGCAAACGGCATACTTTTCATTGTCACATGGATGACAAATCTAAACAGGTGTTAAATCACTCTGCCTTTCATATCTGAAGGCCAGATGAAAAAAAAATCCAGGAAGCTGAAATATATGTCAGGAACATTGTAACCTTAACAGGAACATTGTAAACATTACATATTATTGGTAATAAAGGTTGTCTGTCAACTTTTAAGTTAAAAAAATATGAACAGGAACATAACACCAAGTATACATGTTGTGTCCAAATATATTTATAACTGATTTAGACCAACTGACATTAACTGAGATTTTACAATGTATTCATCTCAATACATATGGATTCGTTGGGGGCCATAAAAGATAGATATTGCCAAATTACCTGTGGGGCCGTATTAAACCGGAACACGGGCCGCAATTGGCCCGCGGGCCGGACTTTGGACATGCCTGCCTTAGTCTGTAGTTTCCATGCAAGAAAGGGTAACTGCATAGCAAGTTATATCAAGATGTGCCCCTAAAGCTCTGATTCTTTGAAGTGATGACCTGTCTTAGCACCCATGGGAATAGCTCATGCTCAGCATCATCTCCCAAGAGTGCCCAACACTCTGCAGGGATGTATTCTCATGTCACGGAGAGGAAAGGGGAATGAATCCTGTTCTCTGTCCTTTAAACCTAGGTCATCTGTAGATGACTGGCTACTGCTGGTAAGAACAATCATACTTTTTAGAAAACTGAGCTTCCAGCCTCCTTAGTAAAATGGGTAAAATTTGTTGAAATATGATGCTAATGGCAGCCATTCTGGTTTCATAATTTTTTTGTCTGTAAGATAAAGATTTAGCCCTGTACTGGGATACATTTTGAATGGATACTGTATCTTAGAATGACCTCTCAAAATACTAAAGTATTTTTTGTTTTAGTGCATAACAATTGAAAAGCTTAAAAAAGATCGTGGGGAAATTAGAGAAATATCAGTAATGTGTTGTCACACAGAGAGAGAACTGAGTAAAGATCAGGATTCCCTTTCTTCAGTGGCTATATTCTGACTCACAATAACCCAATAACCTCTTATCACTGTGAAAGAAAGGATGCGCAGGGCCAACTTATCCTGAAGGGGAGGAAAACACATCTTCGTGCCTTCTCTCTGACCAGGAGACATGGAGTTGGTCAGCTTGAGCACCACTTTTAGCAGCTCTTTGCATCTTCGGTCCCTCCTCTTGTCTTCTGTGAGGCCCTGGAGGATTACTCAGTTTCCTACAGTAACAAGTGCTGAGGGGAAATAACCCATGTGTAGAGAAGAGAGCTGATCAGGACTGAACAACCTTTCTTAAAGAAACCACAATTTGCCTGGAGCCTCTTTTTCATGTATACAGGGCTGTTCTGTCCTCTTTCCTTTGACAATTCCATTTTCAGAGCTATCATCTACCAGGGTCTGACTGTTTACCCTCAAAATCCTCCTCTAGTCTCCTCTGTCCCATAATCAGCAGGTCACCAGCGTATCAGCTTGGACATCAGGAAAGCAATGTCTTCAATTGTGTTAGGTCCCAGCACCTTGCCTGGAATATGTGGGTTGGGCAGCTGAATATGTGCTGTGTGGCTGTCTCTAAGTTGGGGGTCCTGAGGATTCTAGTTCACCCCATGGCCATGGAGCCAACGCAAGCTACAAAAAGTCCTGAGGGGCTGCACCTTGGAAGCATCTTAAGTTGGGATTTGATTCTTAGTCAATTAAACATTAGTGTGATGGTGGTGAGCTGGATAGGAAGGGTAATCGCTCTTTGCCAGTGGTAACTGAAAGTTACATGTGGCAGACAGGATGGTATTTTAGGGTTAATGGTGATAATCAGCTAGGCAGGCAGATAAAAAAATAAGCAAATGTTTCCATGTGAAATAATTTTAACTTTAAGGAGAAAATTCACCTTTTATAACCTCTTGCCCGTGGCCTTTATAAGACCTATAAAGGTGATTGAGTGCATCTAGACACCCATACATACACAATAAGTTTGTATAGACAATGTCTACCTTAAATAGGACACCTAGCAATTAGATTATTTTCCAGAGTTGCCATGCTTACTGTTGAGCAAAAATGTAATCTGTATATGTCTTGATTTATTCCCAGGCTAGAAAATACATTGAATCTCTACCATATATGCCTCAGCAGGATTTGAAAGCAGTATTTCGTGGTGCCAACCCATTAGGTAAGAATTTTTAAGGCCTTTCAGACTGATGTCATTTGGTTCTTTCACAAGCATCTGAGCTCAGGTTTTACTGTGTACTAAAGCCAACTGACTAACAATGGAGCACAATACCATAAGCATTCCCAAACATCTTGATTTGGATGTTTACTCTTGATTTACTCTGATGAAACCTATTCAGACCCTTTTCTTGGTAGGAAGAATAAGCACGTGGATCCGGGTGAGCAGCAATCCAAGGATTAGAGCGCAAATGGCTGCTTTCAAAAAGTAAAAACCAGACAAATATTGTATAACTGATATAACCAGAGTTAGAGCAAAGATAAAATTTGGAACTGCCTATCAAGAATGATGGAAAATGTTTAATTTGTAATGGATACCCATTATCTATTTTGCTCCAGTATGGTTCAAACCAAAGGTCCTAGAATATAACAACTCTACTGGGACATATCAGACCATCAGTACTATTTAATTGGGTTTTTCTGAAATATGGCCCACTGTTCGGGGAAAAAAAGCATAAATACTGAGGATTACTGAAGCAACATTCTCAATACTCAAAGTGTAGCTAAATCTGTAGAAAATATGGGGTTTATTACTACCCTGCATCAACTCACAATAAAAATTAAAAGTTACAATATGTCAGTTTTTCTAATCCCACACAAAGGTAAATCAGAAAATTTTTTAAGAATTACAGTAGACTTCCGATAATCTGGAACCTATGGGACCTAAGTGGTGCCGGATTATCATATATGCTGGACTATCAGGAGGTACTATAAGATGGTTGGTTATA